AAAAAGTTCAAAATTGATCTAAAAGTTCAAATTTTGATCCTTAAAAATCAAAACCTGATTCCAAATGTCAAAAAATTATCAAAAAAGTTCAAAACTTAATTCAAAAATTCAAAGCCTAGTTGAAAAATTCAAATTTGATCGAATTAGATCAAAATTTTATTTGATAGTTCAAAATATGATCAACAGTTCAAAATTAGTTCAAAATCAAAATCTGATTCTAAATGTCAAAAAATGATAAAAGGTTTAAAATTTGATCCAGAAAGTTCAAAAATTGATCAAAACAGTCTAAAATTTGATCCAAAAAGCTCAAAACTTGAATAAAGTTTAAAGTTTGATTCAAAAAACTCAAATCTTGATCAAAAAGTTCAAAATATATATTTAAAAAGTTCAAAGTTTGATCTAATTAGATCAAAACTAGATTTAAAAGTTCAAAATATTAACTTGAAGTTCAAAGTTTGATCTTAAAGTTAAAATTTTGATCCTTTAAAATCAAAATATGATTCCAAATGTCAAAAAAATGATCAAAAAAGTTTAAAACTTAATTCAAAAATTTAAAGCCTAGTAGAAAAATTCAAATTTGATCGAATTAGATCAAAGCTTTATTTGAAAGTTCAAAATATGATCAAGAGTTCAAAATATGATCAACAGTTCAAAATTAGTTCAAAATCAAAATCCGATTCCAAATGTCAAAAAATGATAAAAAAGTTTAAAATTGGACCCAGAAAGTTCAAAAATTGATCAAAACAGTTTAAAATTTGATTCAAAAAACTCAAATCTTGATCAAAAAGTTCAAAATATAGTTTAAAAGTTCAAAGTTTCATCTAATTAGATCAAGAGTTAATTTAAAAGTTCAAAACATGATCTTGAAATTCAAAGTTTGGTCTTAAAGTTAAAATTTGAACTGAAAGTTTAAGTTTTGATCATTAAAAACCAAAATCTGATTTGAAAGTACAAAATTTGATCAAAAAATTCAAAATTTGATACAAAAACTAGTGTATCGGGTAGAAACCCAATGCGGATTATATTCACACCGTACTATCATAAGTCTTATGGATAGACCAAGATTTGCCCATCATAAGTATGAAGGTATGAAGCTTGATAAGTCAACTAAGCTTCGCTCAGCATAAGTTTGAAGTTAAAAAGCTATCGCGTAAGCTGAGCTACGCTCAGAATAAGTTTGAAGATATGAAGCTAGAGAGGCAGCTGAGCTTCGCTCAGCATAAGTTTAAAGTTATAAAGCTATCGCATAAGCTGAGCTACGCTCAGCATAAGTTTGAAGATACAAAGCTAGAGTGTCAGCTGAGCTACGCTCAGCATAAGTTTGAAGATATGAAGCTAGAGAGGAAGCTGAGCTTCGCTCAGCATAAGCTTGAAGTTATAAAGCTATCGCGTAAGCTGAGCTACGCTCAGCATAAGTTTGAAGATATGAAGCTAGAGAGGCAGCTGAGCTTCGCTCAGCATAAGTTTGAAGTTATAAAGCTATCGCATAAGCTGAGCTACGCTCAGCATAAGTTTAAAGATATAAAGCTAGAGTGTCAGCTGAGCTACGCTCAGCATAAGTTTGAAGATATGAAGCTAGGGAGGCAGTGGAGCTTCGCTCAGCATAAGTTGAAGTTATAAAGCTATCGCGTAAGCTGAGCTACGCTCAGCATAAGTTTGAAGGTATAAAGCTTGACGAATATGCCAAATATTCTTTAAAAGTTTTTTAAAAAAAAATTTCATCCAAAGTTGAATTTTATAAAAATCACAGTCAACTTTTGTTTTAAAAAATTCGTAAGAAAGGAAAGTTTTTTGCCATTTCTGAAGCAACGGCTGTTCCTACCTTGCCCAAAAACAATACAGCTCTTCTATAGAGCAACACGGATCAAGTGTAAAAAACTAGAAGTCTCTACGATGTCTCGTTATTGAGATTTCTTGCTGATTAACTTGCTTGCTTGCTTGCTTGCTTGCTTGCTTGTTTGCTTACAGAAAGCGTATTTTGCGATTTTCTCAGCAATGCCACAACCAATTTGAAATCTGTTTTTTGAAAATGATGTAAAATTTCATGCACAAACTTTTATCTCTGATCATTTTAAGCTGCCTTGCTATATATACTCACAAAATTAAAAAAAACTGATTTTTCAATCTGAACAAAACCAATAGATTCACACGTGCAAACGGTGTGAATATAAAATCAAAACTTTAATTTTTCCAGAAACTTAAAATAAGAATTCTTTGTAAAAATAAAGAACCAATTTTTAATCTTCAAAATTCTTTTAAAAGTCCAGCATTTAAAGTGGTGTAAAGCACCAAAATAACATCCCAAAAATGCACAAAAACTGTCTCATAAATTCAACCTATAAATTAAAAATTCATTCGAAAAAAGAATGCTTCTGTGTCCTCATTTGTTGTGTAAAACAATTATCTCAGACATAATCAGAATTTATGTTAACAATTATTGCATAAAATTGCATTTAAAACTTTCCTTTCGCATTATTTCCTTACTCGTTCCATACATCATTTTTTCCTTGCCTGTAGAATTATCAAAAAAAAAAAAAACAGGCAAAACTCAGCACACACAATTCATATTATAATAAATTTATTATTTTTTGGTCATGTATACATGCATAGTTTATTTCTCAGAGCAATTCATATGATTGGTATTATAAAGTTTTTTCTAAAAAACATAAATGAAATTGTACATTCCATTCACAACATAATTTTTGCATGAATATTTTCATATCTACATGTACAAAACTTGTTTTTAATTGAACAAAACGATTTTGACTCGATTATGGGGTTTGGAATGACTACAACCTACAAAATGAAAAATTGTATGAATGCACGGAACAGCGTGGAGCACTTTTTTGGCCTCAAAAAAAAAAGTAAATTTCTGCTTTGCAAAAAGCATAATTTAGCCAATTAACTTATTTAAAATAAAAATAACTGGAAAATGAAAATTTGCATTTTAAGGATTATTTTGTGTGTTACAATGAAAAAATAAAAGGTTTTCGTGCATGACAATTAAATTGTGAAGTGAGCTGCACATCAGGGACGTATTGAGACATTTTTGGTGGGTTATTCCTGAATTTTATTATTCCGTACACATTCTAAACTTGTAAGAGGTTAAATGGGTGGGGGTCTGTTAAAATAAATTATGGAGGAATAAGGGAGTCAAGACCCATTTAAAGAAGGAAGAGGGTGTTAAGACACATTTGGAGAGGTATGAGGGGGTCAATACCACTTAATAGAAGTAAGCCAAAGTCAACATCATTTCATAAAGTTAGGATAAGGTCAAGAACATCTAATTAATGTAGATGGGGATCATTCTCATATCAAATAGGAAGAAGGGGGTCAAGACCACAAGTTTTAAAGGTACGAGGGGTGTCAAGAGCACTTTATTGAGAGAGGAGATGGTCAAAGTCACAACATAGGAATAAAAAAGGGTTAAAACCAATCTATAAAGGCAAGAGGATGTTAAAATTCCATCAAAAAGGTTAAAGGGAGTCAAGACCCCCCTCATCCGTCTCATTCCATGATTGCACACTAAAAACTTTACGTGAATTGCAATAATTATTTTGATGATTGTGACACACTCGTTTAGAAAATTAAAATTGCATGCAATAATTTGAATAAATTGCGAGGTGTTAATGAGGGGTGAATAAAGAATAAACTAATTTTTCATTTATAAAACAAAAATTTTTCGTATGCATTGCTTAATTTGGCTAGAATGTGGATCGTTATAGGCAAACGCAATTTACTAATTGATTTGAAAATATTGCTTAATGATGGTAGTAAATGTGGATTCAATGATTATAATCAGCTTATTATTGTCTGTCCTGTAAATAGATTTTTTGGGGAGCATTTGAGTTATCGCTATGATACATAGGAAGCTGCTGAATGATTCTCAAAATTTTTTGGCATTTTTAACAAAACGTGATAGAATAAATTGCATGTTTATAGAATATATGACATGTGATATTTTAGAATTTCTTATTTACGTCTTTTAAGGCATTTAAAATCCAAATGTGAAATAATTTGTCGGTTGCCAATAGATTGATATGGAAATAGTGCTGTTGGTGATATGATTTGAAGTCATTTTTATTTCTTGATGAGAAAGAGTTTGACTTAGTGTAGCAGAAAAGATTATTAGATGAAAGGGCTCGTTTCTAAGACAAGTGTACCTTAAAAATTTCTGCACTCTAATCTTTACCATCAAGTTGCTAAATGTCAAATAAAGTCGAAAGTGTCAATCATAAGAACAAGAAGTTGTGAATGTTTAATAGTAAACAAATAAATGCTAATGATGTTTTCTAAATTTAAAGAATCTTTGACTCCATATGATTCATACCAGAAATCTTAACATGTTTACTTTACAGGTTTTGCTATCTCATCATCGTCATGATTTTTTTAATTAATTTGAGAAAAATTCATTAAAATTAGTCATTATTTGCTAATTATAAATGTGTAGCTTGGTATAACAATATTGTTATAGCAAATATGTTGGCAAATTGCCAGTTCCAATGACAAATCTCAATAGCTTAGTATGTAGTCTGAACACTTGACCTGCAATCGAGAAGTGGGAGGTTCGATTCCTGTTTGGGATGAATCATTGAGTAAGTCATAAAATTTGCCGCAAAATCAAACATGACCCTCTAGACCCCCCCCCCAGACTCCCTACAGACACCAATTCACCTTTTAAGATCAGTTATAATTTGTAAATATATCTTCAACATTAATAAACCAAAAGAACATGTCGAGCCTATGCAAAAATTCAACCTTTTAACACAGTCTCAAAAAAATAAGAAGAAGTTGATACAGACATAACTCGATCCTCTCCGGCTCTCTCACACCTTATTGTCTCTTAAAAGCTGAGAAAACAAGCTGAGAATCTTATTATAATTATAAATTTTGATGCGTTTGAGCGTCTAGTTTTGATTTTACACTCCATAATAGTAGCAGTATACTCGTGGACCAGACTGAGATATTTTTTTCGTGAATTTTTTTTATAGCTTTATTATTAATTGATAGTTCTTGATTAAATTTAAAAAGACATTTTTTCGTATGTCTGCAGTTCTATAAATAAATTTCAATATTTTATTATGCAAATAAAATAAATTAATATCAATTTATTTAAGTGAATTCAGGTTAAATAAGTTTTGTGTTATTTTGCGATATTTTAAACTTAAAAATAATTAGAAGCTACCAAAAATAAATAATTCCGTATATAATAATTTGACTTCCGGTACAAAAAAGCCATCAACAAGACAGCATTGACCTCTAAAATTCCTCACACAATAAGTAATAAAAATAGTTATTCATAAGCAGTGTCAAATATACAGCTGAATAAGTGAACCCAGTCAATTCAACCTTGATTCGTAAGTAAATACTTCAAAGCTGATCAAAACATGTGCGTGCGTGTGTTCTTTCCATATTTTAATTTTGTGTTTATGTAGATTTCAGAGAAACACGAAACTTAACATTCATCTCTACCCTGTCATTGTTATCACATCATAACGTTATCAACCTTTCAAGTTCATTAATTATTGAGATTTACAGACGAAGAAAAAATTTGCCATGAATCATCGAATACTTTTCTGTCTCGTGCTAGTTCTTGGAAATTTCCTCGCGGCATCAGCAGATTGTTTAGATTCAAATCCTGGAGATGTAGAATATGATTGTATGAATGATGTTGGTGATACAAGACATGAAGAAGCAAGTGAAGAGAAAATTGATGATGTTGTGGATCTAGAACCTGAATATCAAGACATTGATGAACCAGACACTCCACCAGAAAGTCCAGAATCAACAAGTACATCAACAACTGTCAAATCAACAACAGAAGACGAAATTGAATACGATTATGACTCAGAAGAGCATGAAGATCCAGACACACAACAAGATGAGACTCACAATGATCATATTGAAGCTACTGAGCACACCAGCATGCTAAATGACGACGATTCAGCACAAACAACATCTCAAACAACAACCGACAATGATGATCAGCACATCAATCTCTTCTATGACGCGATTAAAACAACTCTCACGAGTACAAACTACAGGAATGCTTACAGATACGTAAAACATCCAGAGAGAGTTGAGTGTATGATCACACAAATGAGAAAAAGTAAAGTTATGGATAAAATTAACAAAGAGTCGTTCGTTTTTAAGAAAAATATTGAGCAAGAAGTAAAGTTTGAGTTTAGGAACGTCACGACATTTATGTACGACCTTGAGCGAGAGATTCAAGATGCAAATTTCGATTGCACGGAGATGGGAAATACCCGAATTTATGTTCTTATTTTTGTTGCTTTATTAGCTATTGTACTGTTAGTGCTTTACATAAGAAGACGGTAAAGATGAATTAGTAAAGATTAATAATTTAGTTCCGATGAAACATGAATCTTGTGTTATTAATTTTTAATGACTTGTTGATTTTTAATGAAGAAAATTTTGCAGTTTTTCACATTTTGTTTTTTTTTCGTATTTTGGATGTCTCAGCTGCATTGTTTAGTTCTGACGTCATGATCTTGAAAAAAGGTTTTGTGACGTACATGTTATGCCTTCATACTTGATGATTAAAAGCTGTTGAACGTAATTTGACTCTTTTTTGCTGTTCATTCAATTGATCTTTGGTCAGATCGGGTGTTTCTAGATTTAATTAACTTATAGAACAGCTTACGAATGGAATGACGCCTATTTTGCTACACAATGTTGGATGTTTTGGGCATAAATTTAAAGACTTTTTGAAGACCATTTGACATATTTTGGTGATATTATTAAAGATTTTGAAGCAATAGCACTGCATACGATTGGAAATGTAGCTGCTGGGATTGGCTTTTAGGATTATGAAGCCTCAAATTGAGGATAAAGTCAGTTTTCACAATTGTTTCCAAAGAAATTTAAAAAATTTCCTTTCTTTTCTGTATGACGCAGCCATTAGCTCTGAAATGAACTAATAGCAGTTCCTACTAGTGTAATAACAATTTCGTCATTGAATCCGAAGCTGCAACTGTTTTTGGGCAGCAATTTAATGATTCCAATGTTTTCATTAGATTTTTGACTACAAATAAAGCTTCAGCTTGATTCATTTGTGCTGAATTTGACCTCGTGACTAGTAATAATATTTACGGTCAGTATTACTGTCGGTATTACATGAAAAATGAACAATTTATGATTATTTTCGTTGAATGCAGCATTTATGCGATTTTAGGTAAATTATCATATCAAACCATGAAGAAGCTTCAAATTTTCTTCCAAAACATGCTAACCAGTATCCATAAAGATCAAGCAAAGGACTCAAAATTGAATTCAATCCAAAAAAAATTCATCAAATTTTTTCAAGTCAGTAAGCTTTGAGATTTTAAAATTAACATTTAATGTGAAAAATTCGAAGAAAGTTCATTTCAAGTTTATCTTTCAACGAGACCAGACGTGTTTTTGAAAAGCTCCAGAAATATTTTCGAATCTTCTTACTGCAATTAAATCATATCATCCAGAAGCCTTATACAAATCATCGAAAAGCCTTAATCAAATCATCCAAAATCCTTATACAAAATATCCAGAAGCTCTTTAAGCCTCAAACAAATAATCAAATTAAATTCAACAATGGAATTCCGCAAGTTTTTGATCGCATTTTTTATCGTCGGCATGATTACAAACTTATCAGTAGCCAAGCCACTTGAAGGAGAAGATCAAGAAAAGCCAATGATTGAAGTTGACAATAAAGAAGTAACAACAGATGTAACTGATGTCACTGTTGCTCCAGACGTGCCAAATGCTTCTTCGCCTGTTGTAACCCAGCCATCTGTAACTCAGGGACCATCAATTGAAACAACACCTAAGGCAATTGAAGAATCTGGTGCTGAAGGTGAAGGTGCCAAAGGATCAGCACCATCGTTCATGCAAATGAAGCTCATTCCATTCATATCAGTTGCTTTGTTGTATGCAACAATGTCAAAAGTGATCAGCATCTAAGTTTTGGTTGTTAAAGTTTCAAAATTTACCGTGTTTTGTTCATGCTGAATTGGAATAATAAAATAAATGAAGTACAAAAATAAGCTTTAATAAATTAATTCTCATATATAAATTGTTTATCATTTACAAATTACAGGCAGTTGAAAAATTAACTTCAATATATGTCAATAATGCTATTGTTGAGCAATTAGCTATTTAAAAAATAACGTATTTTTTCATTTTTGAATTTCTAATATTCGAATATATATTCGAATATATTCGAATATATTTGAATATTTTTTTGTTCATATTCGAATATACACGAATACATTCGAATATATTCGAATATTTGCCCAACCCTATTGTGAACTGAAATTTTTATTTTACAGAAATTGAAAAGATCAAACTATGTTATGCAGTGAGTCTACACATGATACTCATTTATGCACTCCCTTCTTTCAACTGTCACAAAATCTTTTAAAATCAACAATACAAGCTGTTATTGTCAAAACTATTGATTCATAACTGTAACACACATGTGTGGCATAAAGTGCTAAACGTTTCTCCGATTACAGACTCACATCATATAAAATGATAATAAAAGTCTTGTCTGCTCTTCCATAAACGTAAATAAATCACATCACTAGAACGTAATACTTACAAACCTTATTAATACTGACTTATTGAGATTAAAAATTGTCACATAGAGAAGATGTTCAGTGCCTATCAAGCATTTAACGAAAGTTGTTTGTGCTCTCGTTTTTTATAATGATAATCAATAAGTTGCCAGCTTCAATTCAGTAGCTTTTCAGATTCCATTAAAGATAGACTGAGCTCCTAGAGATTCAAATGGATTATTTATTTAAATTATTTTGTGTAATTGCAATTGCAAGTTTGTCAGCTGCACAAGATGAATACTTTGATACAGGTAAAATTATCAAATAGAGTCAGAAAATCAATAAGTTGTGCATTGGATGACACAATTTAAATGTTGGCGCCATCATGCTATGTTGAATGTATGCTTAGAATCAAGTGTATTCACACACACTAGCTAGATCCGCTGCTACATACACAAAATGACTGTCTAATTGTTCAGAAATCCTGGTTCTAAGTGGACGTTCGCACTGTGGATGGATACGTTTATGATAGGCTGTTAAGTATCTTGTAAAATCTTTCATTTCTATAACTTTTTCTTATTTCAAGTTTTACAAGACACAACGCAAGACACTGTAGATGATGAAACAACAATTACTCCCATCGAAAGCTTTAAAATTGAAAGGGAGAAGCATATAGGTACTTAATTTAAACCTGTGTACCATTACACACCAGTGTCAATGTTGACCACAACTTAAAACACCTTTAAGTCCAATATTTTCAAATCCTCTTAATTTCTTTATAGATTCAACATTGGAACTAGAACCAGCAGAGGTTGAAAACGTCAAATCAGCTGGATTTTACAGCTTTATTCAGTATGTTCTATACAAAGATGACTCATATAGAAAATATCCAAGAAGAATCGACTGCATCATAGAAACATTAAAGAAGACTAATGCTATAAATGAAGTCAGCACTGACGAAATGAATGTTAAGTTTATGATTTTGGAGACAACAAACTCAAGCGTGACTGTGGCTTTTAAGGATGATGATGGATTTAAGCAAGATATTGGCTCAAACATTGAGAGTGCAAACTACGGCTGTTTGGTTCCTGGATTAGTTTCTGTCATCATTTTAGCATCCATATTATTGGCTTTAATAAGCCTTGTTATTTGCACCAATAGAAACAATCCACTTCCATCGGAAGCATAGCTGTAAAGCTTTTAATGTGATCTTTAAAATTTAGTAAAAGTGATGCACAGTGAAACTTAATTAGAACTTGAAATGACTTTATGCGGCAACAATTGCCATGACTTTAAATTTTTTATTTACAAAGACTGGAAGATTAATTTTCATATTGACTTAATAGTGTTAACACTAGGTTACAACGTGCTGAATGTGATTAATAAAATAAATAAATAATGATTACGTATGAATCAAAACTATTTGTTGTTGTTCTGACTTGCTTGTTATCTCCATTGAGAGAATATCATTTGATGTTTGCAGGTTGTCGACATGAGGGTTTCTACCTTAGTCACCTTTAGTTTAGAATCATGACGGTTCAGAATGATTGCTTTTATTGCTTGAAGAAGGCTGTTGGGATTTAAAAGCAGTTAACTTTAAAGAACCTGTTTTAGACTTATATTAAGCAAATGTTTAACAAATCAGGTCTATGATTCATGTTCTTCCTTTTCTATACCAAAAATTGTGGCTTATTGTCATTCAAAGAATGTTGCAAGTTGCTCTCAAGTCGGTGACGTAACCGAAACTTAATTTCTCGTCCAAATTCTTGGCTATGACACAGACTTTTGTGTTGACTTAATTGAATTAAGCATTGGTTTTTCAAAAAAAAAAAGGTAAAGCATGGAGAGGGCTCAGCCTTTTGAGTTGGAGACACTGCGATTCAAATAAGAACAGAATCTAATGTATCACATCTTTTAGACCAACATTTTATATTGGAATCTGAACCACTTGCAAGCTCTGCACTTTGCAAAGACACGAGTACATCAATAGACCTGATACCCTGCAGTGTCTCTAGTCACAATTCGTTTGCGCAAGATGTGGTGCCAAATAAATCAAAACTCCACCCAACACACAAACTAGGCTTCGTAACTAGAACCGTGAAATGGAAAAAGAGCTTTTAAACTTGACTTGATGGGACTTGGTCAAGCCATGCTTGATTTTAAAACTTCTTCAACATTTCTTAACAAATTAACCAAAAATATCTTAATTATCATTCAAAACCTTAAAAGTAATCACACTAAAGTTCCATCATTCATCTCCTTCCCACATTTTCACACTACTCATTTCCATCTACTTTACATTAATGATTCTGATTCTTTCAAATGAAATGATTAATTATTTTTCATGAAAAATATCTCAAAAAGTTTCATTCATTAAAACTTGTTTTTCTTTCCACGTCGTGCCTTCAACCTTTATTTTCCTGCCTCCTTTTTTGTGTGTGCAAATCAGCAACTTTCCATTCTCATTTTTCTTAAATAAAATCGGATTACTTTTCCTTCTTACCATTTCAAATCTGATTCCTGCTATCAGTAAGTGACAATTAATGTTCAGCAATGCTCCTTCCATCGTGAGAACATAAATTATGTTTTTTTTGTGCTGCTGCTGCTGCCGTCTTCTCAAAAAGCAAACATAGACCATATTTCATGAGCGAGTGGAAAGGCAGTAATACATATTTAATGGGAATAAATTTTCTTTATAAGTTAGAACGAATTGCTAGAAGCTAGAAAGCGTACAAAGAATTTATTTTTATTTTATTTCAAAGAGCATGGAAGGAAGAAAGAAAAAAAGCATTAGTAGGAAAAAGTTCTGGATCTGAAAAAAAAGAGACTCTTCACGCGAAATATCACAAACGATATGGATGGTGTTTGAAGTATGAAAATGGAGAGGAAAATTTCTTCATCTTCCGCTTAAAACTTTGTGGTGGATTTGTTGGCTATGAAGCATAAATAGAGTAAGTTGTGCAGTTTTTCTGACTTGGATGGATCAGTTTGGTTCGTATTTTGAAATATTATTTAATATTTAAATAACATGATCTACATTTTTTGCAGTTAAAGCTGATTGACATACTTTCCTAGCCTATAGTAATGCTGTGAATATTATGCAAATCTTTGGCTCACCGATAATGCTTTTTATCATCATTGAGAGATTAGGTTCTAATGGGAATCGAACTTACATCTACATAAAAGAGATATCAACGAATTTCTGGTATTAAGCCTACCCAATCAAATACAAAGGCTTAAAACTTGAACTGACAGATTCGACTACATATGGTTTGATACCTCAGGTTCCACTTTACTCAGGCATCACTCCTTTAAACCATAAGCAAGCCAATGTTAAGTGAATTAAACAATTTTATATCAGATTTGTGAGCTATAGGAGCTCGGTGATTGAGTCGTTTCGTACTTGCGTTCCTAATTATTGCAATATCGACAAGCAGTCGTGAGTTCGAGACTGGGTACGAAAAATTTTTCACTAGTCTTTTTTCGAATCATATGTACTGGAAATGAAGGTTCACACCTTCCTATGTAGGCTCCAAGTAGTAATACCATGAAACAAGTGGTTTGGATTCTACTTTTAACTAAAGGTCTAGGTTTGAGTGCAGTGGTCTAGTGAATCATCCAGGGGCGAAGCCAGAAAATTGTTAAGGGGGGGGGGGCCCATTTTCGAAAATTAAAAAACCGTTATTTTGTATCCTTAAATCTATATTCATTCTTCATAAATTTAAATATTTAATTCATTATTTATACATTAAATTTAATTTTTCGTGCTGATTTTGATATTTCTTTCATCACTTCCTCTACATTAACTGGTTCTTCTCTATAAATACTTAATAAAACAATTATCAGATTTTCATAGCGGGGCCCGGGCCCCTATGCCCCCCCCCCCCCCCCCCCCCCGGCTACGCCCCTGGAATCATCACTTGTTAAGCTTGTAATTAGCTGCGAATCATCCTAGCGCTTCTCTAGATCATAACTGACCTGAATAGGTCGAGTTTTTTTATTTATCGCAATTCAATTTAAAATCTTAATCAAGGAACGTTTGAATACGAACTAATCCAGGCTTTGAGATGACCAACCCATTTATGCGCCACATTAAAAACACATCCAGTCATCCCTTCCAAACTCATTTTTCGCATTGCTATATTTTTTTTTTTGATTTGATGTCGAAAGTTTTTATTTTATTCCGCATTTTTTATTTTCTTCAAAAAAGGAAAAAGTCATGCTTTGTGTGCCGTTCTAATGTGAAATATTGGCCACTCTCTCCTTCTTTATTTTTCATCCAGAGTAGAGCACAAGCACCATAAATTCATCCTCATAAATCTATCCAAGTGCAAACAATTTTGTTTCTTCTCAACAATTTCTTTTAAGGATAATAAAAAAGAGGATAAAGGCAGCACAAAAATAAAGTTTTTTTTTTGGAAATGAGGAGCAGTCAAAGAAAGTTAATCGCATTTTCCACACAAAAATATTATTTATATAGCGAGAAGAAGCCAATAATTTTTAAGATTTTTCCTCATCTCATATGATTTATTTTTATATGCCATAGAACTTTCTCCCCTTAAAACGACATAAAGCCATCCGTAGACGGAAGAGAATCGCACAAATGCTTTATGTTCGACATCATTAAATATATGAGAAGGGATCAAAAACACGGTGCAATGTGACAAACAACAATAATAACAATGTATCTTAGTCATTTGCTTTATTGATTTATTGCTGTTTATTTGCCGCATACTCTAATGCAAACAGACACGCACACACATGACTATCTTGCTCTCGACTTTTTCGTCTATAGATAAATTATCGCGAAGATATTCCCAGATGATCTATTTGAACTAATGAAACGGAACAGGTAGTTCAGACTTCTCTTGAATGGAATTTATCATCATTTATTATGTGTTAATTTTATTATTGATGGATATTTAAGTTTAAGAGATGATTAAAGCGCAGTTTAAAGGTTTCATGAGCTAAGGAGTCACTTAAGTGTAGCCTAGAAGAAGAATTATTGTGTACTCCTGTCTTTCAGACGACAGTATAAGGTTTAATGAGAGGATAACCAATAGAATCCTAAAATATAACTTCTTAGTATCAATCGCACTTGGTACTTAGTATTCCAAGCAGCAATTAGGTTTGAATTGTCCATGCATCTTATCGATGATGTGTTACTTACTGTTTTTATTTTCAAAGCTGTCATCTTACAACGACTCTGACTTGTGCGTTAAGTAAACGGCTCTGAGCATAACATGACAGTTATAAGAATCAAGGGTCAGACACTCCAACAGAATTGTAAAAGATTGTACAATTCTTCACAATCCATATGGAAGGATTGTAAAGATTGTACAATCCTTACAATCCTTACAATCTTTATATGAGAAGGATTGTAGGGATTGTAATCCTTACAATCCTTATATGGAAAAGATTGTAGGGATTGTAATCCTTACAATCCTTTCCATATAAGGATTGTAGGGATGAAATAATTGTATGGAACATTTAAAAATGTTTTTCATAGGTTATTAAAGAAGAAATATTAACTTAATATTAAAAATTTATTTGTTTGAATTTAAAGAACGAAACAATGGAAATACAGGGTGGGTGATTTAAATCAAAAATCAAAACCTTTTTGCAATGATTTTTCAAAGGGATTTTTTTGAATTTTGATTTAAATCTCTTGTTTGAAAGTTTTTATTGGGATTTTAAAATCCCTCCATGCAAAATTTTTGTATTCAATTTCTCAAATTATTTTTCAAATCAACAGTTTTTAGTTGCAGTTCCTATGCAGTAAGATCCAGGCATGCTTGATGAAGTCCAGTTATTTATGTGTAAGCAGCAAGGCACAGAAAATTAAAAATCATGAAAAGGATTTCGTTTAAGTCAAACAGCATGAAACCATTGGCTGCTGTAAACTTTCTTTAAGAAATGTTTGAATCTAAAAGATCCAGTTGCAAGATTCTGGCCAAAAAAGTATCAACTACATTCCTCCTTATTAGGAACTGCAACTGAAAACTGTTGATTTGAAAAATAATTTGAGAAATTGAATACAAAAATTTTGCATGGAGTGATTTTAAAATCCCAATAAAATCTTTCAAACAAGAGATTTAAATCAAAATCCAAAAAAACCCCCATACAAAACTGATTTAAATCAAAATCCCTTTTAAAATTCATTTCAAAAAGATTATGATTTTGATTTTTGATTCAAATCACCCATCCTGGTCACAGGTGTAAAAATTATACATTTTACAACTTTTTAATAAGTTAAAATGTATAAAAAATCATTCGAATTGATTCACAGTAAAGTATTGTGTGTTCCTATATATTGTGCAGGTATAAAATATAAGAATATATAGATATATACATCATAACAATATGTGACTCCATTAGC